TTTCATCAGTTATGGTTATCAAAGGGATCATCATCATCATCATCATCATCATCAGGAATCTGTCAAGACGACAGGTCCACAGCCTCTTCCAAAACAATTCCTCCTTTTAATGCGCTCTAGAGCTTTCTCCTTCAAATGACAGTATCCTCTTCTGTCCCCAAGGTCATCCAGCATCTTCTTACGTCTTCTTCCTCGTCTTCTTGTCACTTCTATCCGCCCCTCTATCTTTCCTTCGATAACTTCTTTTAGAAGGCAGTTTCTGCGTAAAACATGACCAATCCAATTAGCCTTCCGTTACTAATACTAAATATAAATCTCGCGTTTTAGTATTTAAAATTTTGGAAATGTTTTAAGAGTTAGTATGGGTTGTCATACAAAATATCAGTTGTCTCCACTGAATGTTTCGAAGTTCAATAAATAACCGGAGAAAGCTGTACTCATCACGTTAACAAGTCTCTCATTTCAGATTTATAAGGAATGTACTCGTATGCTTAGAACACTCGTTTCGTGAAGATCAATCAAATGTCTGAGGATCATTATCATTTTGTAAATTACTATATTATATTATATTACTGAGCTCCGGAATAGTGCAGCCAGTATAGCGGCTGGCTGCAGGCTGGAAGACAGAATGACCGGAGTCGAATTCCCAGTAAGGTCAAGAATTTGCTCTTCTCCATGTATTCAAGACCGGTTCTGTGGGTCACCCAGTCTCCTGTCCAATGACTACTGGGGGATCTTTCCTCGGGAGTAAAGCGGCCGAAACGTAAAGCTAATCACTCACCTCCAACTTGTGTTAAGCTCAAGAGAACATGGATCTCTACATCCTCCCCCACACACACTTTCACGGGGTGGTGCTTAATTAGTTAAGCACAAGAACAACTTTATCTTTTTACTTTTATATCATATTATCATTTTGTGAGTTATTGAATACAAAAAAATTATATTGTCACGTGATCGATTATAGACGGGATTTGGATTGGTAATCGAATTTATGTGACTCTTTAAGACTCATAACTGCAAGTATTTCTAGCGCTATCGCCGATTCAGCGCACTCCACAGTTTACAACACGCACTAAGTCTTCTCAGTCTGCTGGGTAATGTCTTCCAACAGTGGACGTTCCTATGCTTCCGGGCTCACGCTCAGAGGCTGGCGGCTCCAAGCTCTTCGCTGGCTGGTGTCTATTTCACAGCTAGGCTCGGCGTTGCTGCGCAACGCTTTACAACAATAGGGGCTCCTCGGCCTCCCACGCCTCTACCAAATGCGACCGTACGCGACAACTTCCTACGGATCTGTCTCCCAGATTCAAGACACTCTAGACTCTCGGCCGATGTCCCATTGGTCCTCATGACATAGCCTCGGGACGGACCCAACAGAAAAATAAAAAAATCCGTTTCCCACAATTGCTCTATTGCTGTGTGACGTCAATATCGGCGCGAGTCCACAGAGAAGACCATTCCCAGCTGCACTTAAATTGGTTACATTGCGTGGCGTGACGTTTTTCACTAATGCGTTACTGTTTATTATGCCATCACCTAGTAGAGGACGTCTCTTCTGATAATAGCATTCCGGCTTTCAGTCGATATGCCACAATGTGCTCGTATGACATAAAACATAAATCGCCCTAATGCATACAGATACTTTCACATGTCTTTAGATGTGTTCAGTATCTACGAAATGTATCTCGAGTTATATGTATCTTCACATTACGTCAAGAATCACAACTGGTAACAGATGAATGTTCCTAAACCACTCATGCTATTAGTAACTGTCTATAATGGGATACAGTAAGAACATAAAGCTTTAAGTTACACTGGCATATGCGAGTACGTGGTATATTCCAATATAAATATACCCCGTATTGCCAAAGAGACTTCATAAATACACGCTGAATGACACTAACATTGCTCCAGTCCTAAAGGTTTGGAAGGTTGGCATTTTAGTGTAACGCAGAGAGTTTAAATTACACTAAGTGTAACACTAACAGATTCAGACTCAGAGTTGCTTTACAACTGGCAGCTTATCGCCGATCACTTCGTTTTGGCGATAAGCCCCTTGATACTCATGACCAGCAATTTTTTAACTGAATACTTGCTTTCACAGCACTCTCTTTGACGAGAGGATGGGTCTGTAATATACAATTGGTGCTGGTCCTCGCCAGCGCAATCATTCTCAGGTCCGTCTCCCCCGGGACTCGTGACCACATTTTACTCTCTCAAATTCGAGACTCCCCCACCTGGACGGCCAAGTCCCCGTATTTATAACTCCAGGAAGAGGATGGCCTAGTCATAGCCCCAGGAATTGGGCTCCCAATTACTGCTGGACCTCGGCAGCGCAGCTACTTTCAGATCCGACCACCGCGGGACTCGTGACCACATTTTACTCTCTCAAATTCTTGACTCTTCCAACCTGGAGGGCCAGGTTCCTGTATTTACATCCCCAAGGAATAAGGCAGCCCAATTATACACCCAGGAACTTGCTTCCCTTTTCGTCGCCTCCTACGACTCGCAGGACTAAGATGGGTGTATTTGTTTCCGCCTCCACACGGAAGACAATAACAACCGTCGATCTGATTTCCATAATATGGCTCCTGTAATTGAATCTTCGAAAAGGGAGATGTAGGAAACGCGAAGTTCACTAATAGAGTTATAAGGAAAGATATCTATCTCTTCCAAGTTCAAAAAACGCATCACAAAGAGGAATGGTCATAGCAATTATTGACAATATAATTTTAATTCTATGGATCTCCATTTTTAAAATCCATTCGTACCGCTGCAGTTAATGCGACAACAAAGGCATGAATTGACGTCTTAGATCGAGACTTAAAATTTCATCCATAATAAAATGGTATGATAAAGCACTTCACTGTAATGATTCCGTACATTTTCTTATATACTCGTACATTTTACTGAAATTATATAGGCTTACGAACAGATTAGCATGCTCTTTGCAGTATTTTTAAACATTTTTTTCTTTTCTGTCAGATAAGACACATCCTAACAGAAACAACTTTAGTGGAAATATTATAACTATCTCCTATTAAGTAAATATGAAATTCACGATTAATTAAAGTGTTTATTTTAACAGTTTCTCTATACATGATACGATGAAACAAACGCATTTTCACTGTTTGAAACTCGTAGGCGCAAATACACCTCAAGAACGCCTAGCAAAGGAAAGAATACTGTCATGCACACTGCTGTGTCGGAGAAGTTGCCGCATAACTACGGCGTTACCGTGAACACCGAAAGAGAACGGAACGGGATGAGTAGAATGTTACGAGTAGGTATGTTTCGGCTGTTTTGTCAAGTACAGAATTTGGTGTCTCACTTTAGGGTACAAGTGCTGAAGACTTTCCAAGAGAATCTGTTGAGGAAAATACTTAAGTTCAAGATTTAAATTAAAGATCTAAAAGAATAAATTAACCCTCGAGCAGGCGAACTTCATGGTTTGAAGAGGGTAAGATTCAATAAAGGAATTGAGAGCTTATAGCTTGTTTCTTAATATCGAAACAAACTTCAAATCATTCTTAGAATAGGACTGTCTCATTCTTCTGTTGAAAAGAACATTTCTGTATATCCAGCCTGCCTGTGGACGTAACATATGTCCAGTCCTTGGAATCCGTTTCTAAGCAACTGCCCCGTAAAGACGTTCTCACTGAAACGAAAGCGGGCCACAATAGAAGAGCTGTGCTTCTATGTGGTCCGCGCCGCAACCTTTCTATGCAACGGTGGGTTAAAAGAGCTTCCTCAACAATAGAGGTTGTGTTTTCTGCATTGTCCGTGCCGAGGAATTATCTTGAAGGCAATCAGCACTGAGTGCACTGATGAGATCAGTAATAACGCACGATTGTCCTGCCTGGGAATTAGAGGCAGACACCTGCTTCTTAAAATTGAAGCGCCTGCAAAACAAGTTTTGTAAATTGTAAATTTCCCAAGATGTACACCGGTCCGCAATTTGCTCACAGCGTTTAACCTTCCATATATACGATTATTTAGGAAAATTATGCACGCGACAAGCAGAAGTCATACGGAATTATGAGAATGAACATTTGCGCAATATATGACAAGATGAAGCCAGACATAGAAAATATAAGAGACTTAAACTTAGTAGTGGTCAAGCTTACGACCGTTCAAGCGACTAGGCTGCCATTGTAGCATAAGATAAGTAAGACAGACGTGATCTGCCCTGCTAAACCTATACTGACAGAGGATTTATTTGAGTGCAAAATGAAGAATTTTTCAATAAAATGGTATAATTGCGAAATGTACGTATGACGAAAGGCCAAGCATATTCGTTAAGAGACAAACTCATCTTCTCTTCAGAGAGGATGTCATATGAAGACTGTTACCGCAAGAATTCAGTTAGAAAAAATTTATGGTCTTGGGCCTCAAGGGGTTTGTCGTCAAGACAAACGGATTGGCGGCAAACCGCCAGTCGTAAAGTAACTTTCACTTCGACTTTTAGAATGCAGTTTAGGGTTCATGTGTGGAGTGTTAACCAGCCAGAAACGGAACGGAAGGATCTCCATTGCTAAGATTTGTTACCAGGAAGCTTATAATGAAAACACTGCAGAGAAATATCCATTGTTGAGATCTACTGCCAAGTAAAGACTAGTAAAAACAGACTGAGAAAACTTTGTGTGGAGTGATTTGTAGTGTGGAAATCAGCAATAGTGTTATAGTTCTTTGTAGGTACGACCTGTGGTCAATAAATTTATTCACCAATTCATATTTCGTCTATAGTGAATAATATCAAATGGAATAAACACTCCTATTCATTTATATCAGTGCTGAAGTGGGGAATGTGGAACACGTTTTAGAAGAGAATACGTGTGGCTCTATACCAGATGTTCTACCAGATCTATGTTCCTATAACTTATCGTGTATATGAAGGAAATTTACTTAGATTGTCAAAATGTTTGGAAAGATTAAAATTCCAGAGTTGTCGTAAGAAGGCTTCGTGCGAGATCGTGAGCGCTCGGGTTTTGGCCCGGGCGGGCTTTGAGCGTTAAGAGAAACGGCATAACTAGACGAGACAGTTGAGAGGCAGCGTCCGCGTAGCCCGGTTGGCCACAGAGAACTGAGGCAGCATTACCGCCGTGCGAGAGGAAGTGTAGTTCAAAACTGACAAAGAAACAACATTCATTACTCAAACGCACCAAGATAACTATCTTAAAATGACTTAGAATTATGTACAGTTTTAAAAATTCATCTCATCTCTAGAGCAACGACCAGATGGTAAAGTACTAAATTTATTATTCCTTGCTTCTTGTCAAAATATTGGCAATACTATTTTAATTTTCTAAATTAATTTTTAATCTGGCAACATATGTCTTCACTGCAATGACCTTAGAGTGTGGCGAAGTATTAATTACAGTTATTTGTCAACTACGGTTTGCGAATCCTAAATCATGAATAAATTTACTAAAACTCTGTTCGCCTAGCGTAAAGTAAAATGAATTACATGTAATTTCGTGATAGTAAACACCTGCTTAGAAAATAAATTCCAGTGGTGTTTGAACATGTATCTTATATTTTCTTTAACATGTCTATTAAGAAATGTACACTGATTTTGAGGATACATGATGAGTGGGAAACAAAATAATTGTGAATCGTTACGTATAATCCTGAAATTTTTAAATTAATTCAATTAATTTACCTGTCGTGTTTCATTTAATCAATTAAATCACATATAATTACAAAAAACGGACCATATGGCCCAGAAGAAGCATGAATGACGCTAGAAATCGATTGTGTCCTAATTTTCTCTTTTTCAAATACGAGGGATAGGAGGAAGAAGGCGAGTGCGGTACGTGACGAGGGCAAAGAGGAGCAGCTTATCACCTCCGAGCAAGGGGTTAAGGGCTCTCCAAGATGATGTCTCTAAGTAAATAATGGAATTAACAGCTCCGACCGAGTTTTCATTCAAACTTTCCCAGCGGCACTCCTTGTTTCCTATTAAGTTTCTAATCGATTTATTCATTTCCATTTGCTCCTCCTATTTATATTCATGAGACTTCAGTGGCTTATCACAGTTTCTTTAAAATGACTCGCAATCATATCTTAGTCCGAAACCTTCCCAATTTACAATTTAAAAATTAAAAAAAAAGTTTTATTTAAGAACTACGTTTTGTATTCTGTTCTAGTTATGAAATAAAAGCAGATAATTATAATGAAGCGCTAGATCTGTCCGAAATAACTCCATCGTTACATATTCAACAATTTATTTATTTCTACATCATAATAAATAAAACAATTTTATTACATGTACAAACAAAATTGTTATAGAAACAATTCTCACTGCTGGACTGAGATAAAAGTATATTTTTGGAGACGGAAATAAACGAGAGCTAGCATATGCCACTCTCTGACAACAAAGGACTACTCTAAGAGTATGAGGAAATATGAAACAAATTCAATTTGTAACTACACAAAATTACACAACTTTTGCAAACTGTTAATTCTGTTCCGTCGGTTAGTCAGTGGAAGTTTATATTGAAGAAACAAATATTTCGAAATAATTACTTAAAATTCTACGTCGTCTAATTCATGCTGTGACATAATGACATAGGTTACGGTTCTGTAGCAGGTACGCATAGGCTCAGATTATAATTATTTCAACTGTACACACGTTCCTTAATGTCAAAAAATTGGAAATAATTCTAAACGTGGGGCATATACTAAAAATAAATCACTGATATATTGGGTTTTTGGACTTTATCCATCGTCCTGGTTTTTAAGATAACTAATAAAAACACGACGTTTCGGAAACTGGATCTGTTTCCGTCCTCAGGTGAAGGATAACGTTAGAAAGAGCTAGCCTCAATCACTGGTCCAGTGATTGAGGCTAGCTCTTTCTAACGGACCCAACGGAATAGGCATTTCCCTTTACCTGAGGACGGAAACAGATCCAGTTTCCGAAACGTCGTGTTTTTATTAGTTATCTTAAAAACCAGGACGATGGATAAAGTCCAAAAACCCAATATATCAGTGATTTATTTTTAGTATATGCCCCACGTTTAGAATTATTTCCAATTTTTTGACATTAAGGAACGTGTGTACAGTTGAAATAATTATAATCTGAGCCTATGCGTACCTGCTACAGAACCGTAACCTATGTCATTATGTCACAGCATGAATTAGACGACGTAGAATTTTAAGTAATTATTTCGAAATATTTGTTTCTTCAATATAAACTTCCACTGACTAACCGACGGAACAGAATTAACAGTTTGCAAAAGTTGTGTAATTTTGTGTAGTTACAAATTGAATTTGTTTCATATTTCCTCATACTCTTAGAGTAGTCCTTTGTTGTCAGAGAGTGGCATATGCTAGCTCTCGTTTATTTCCGTCTCCAAAAATATACTTTTATCTCAGTCCAGCAGTGAGAATTGTTTCTATAACAATTTTGTTTGTACATGTAATAAAATTGTTTTATTTATTATGATGTAGAAATAAATAAATTGTTGAATATGTAACGATGGAGTTATTTCGGACAGATCTAGCGCTTCATTATAATTATCTGCTTTTATTTCATAACTAGAACAGAATACAAAACGTAGTTCTTAAATAAAACTTTTTTTTTAATTTTTAAATTGTAAATTGGGAAGGTTTCGGACTAAGATATGATTGCGAGTCATTTTAAAGAAACTGTGATAAGCCACTGAAGTCTCATGAATATAAATAGGAGGAGCAAATGGAAATGAATAAATCGATTAGAAACTTAATAGGAAACAAGGAGTGCCGCTGGGAAAGTTTGAATGAAAACTCGGTCGGAGCTGTTAATTCCATTATTTACTTAGAGACATCATCTTGGAGAGCCCTTAACCCCTTGCTCGGAGGTGATAAGCTGCTCCTCTTTGCCCTCGTCACGTACCGCACTCGCCTTCTTCCTCCTATCCCTCGTATTTGAAAAAGAGAAAATTAGGACACAATCGATTTCTAGCGTCATTCATGCTTCTTCTGGGCCATNACCGACGTTTCTGAGGCACGTATCGCCTCCGTCTTCAGGGTAGAAGGAAAAATAAGAAATCCGCAAGCGAAGAGACCTTGAGAACCGGTACAGATACCGGAGACGATACGTTCCTCCGAAACGTCGGTTAACACCACATCTACACGGTGCCACATCCCAGAAGACTGCTTTCTTCAAGTGCTTCAATGTTTCACATAAATTTGAAATAAAATATTTTGTTCTATTGCTTTCAGCATATTCAGATCTCATTTATCTCCCCTGTAACAGAAGAAACCCCTAGGAAAACGTCTCTAAGTTTATTCACAGGTCCATCACAAAACGGGGCTGAAGTTGACGATTTGTCATATCAGTGTTTCGGACTGTTTCTCTAATATCATTGGGGCTGTACATTCTAGAAATTACATGGATGTACATATGTTTGTGTTGCGCGTCTTCTCTCAAGAACATATTCGATTTTATTAAGCGTCCTATTTTGTCTAAATGGCCGAAGCTACACTCTCCTTCTGAACTATAATCAATTTTATACTTTCTCAACTCTGAAAAATTTGGCTGTGGAACCCTTGTTCCTATGGCTATCTGGATTCCGTAGTTACAGCGAAGTTTACATCCACCGAATTTTCTGAAAGTATGGAAACAATAACATTGTTTTGCATATGATATTCAAGTTTGAGCTTTAGCTGACTGATTTTGTGGTCATTTAACAAAACTGTTTTAACTACAGAGTATATACAGTATCGAATCTCACGTGAAGGTTACGACAAAAGAAGAACACGAGGAGAGGATAGTGGGCCGATTAACTTCTTGTCCAGGCATACTCCTAGAGATACTGAGTAAAATCATCAGAATATCATTCAGGAGAGTCTATAATCGCGCCAAGTTTCGAACTTTGTACCTATCAAGTTGAACCCTAAAAAATACATTGACGTTACATCAACCTACTCGGATATCCGTCATGGGTAAAATGTTTTTCGTAACGCAGACTTTCGAAATTTCAGGTTTTTCTAATGGATAAACGAAACTCACTTTGCACTCCCCTTCCGCTGAGTTCAAGGCTAAATGGGATAGGTTTAAAAATACATAAGCTACACTTTCCTAGGGGAACGCGGTAATGTGGTTGGTTGAGGCATTATGCTACAAGCCGGAAGGTCGCGGGATCAAGTCCTGATGAGATCATTGGACTATTTAAATTGACCTAATCCTTCAGCCGCACTATGGCCCTGAGATCGACTCAGCCTCTAACAGAAAGGAGTACTAGGAATTAATTAAATAATTTTCCTGGGGAGTAAAGCGCGGCCGGCGCGTAGGGCTGACAACCTTACCGCCACCTTTGAGCCGACTGTCTAGATAATGTGGGACCCTCAACGTCTCACAACCCTATGGGCCTTCACGGCCTGGTACAGGGATAGCTTTACTTTACTTACACTTTCCTATCCTTGTCATGAATTTTGCTTGGTTGTTCCCTTCAGATGCGTGCGTCTTGTTACCTGTCTTTCATCTGCAATCGATTTCATGTGCTTATAGATTGGTAGACCCCACAAGGACGAAGTTACGGTGAGGACGTTGGTGACACGTCATCAAACTGGTGATCCATGTGTAACGGACTAGATTTTTAAGGATATTTGTTTTCACTGTCCTGCTTGTGGTTGGGGCTTCCGCTAAGGGTCCAGTAGATCATGAAATTCCCACTGACGCAGAAAGACCCTCTATCGGAGAAAGGAAAACGACGCAACAGCTGCCCATTGGATTGTTACTAATTTTCCTACCTCGAAGGATATAACACATTGAAATTGGATGTCATTTTATTTCCCAATGATTCTATTTCCAGTTGTTATTATTTTTCACGTTATAAATTCCTTTAGATCCTTAGGACATACGGGCTGTGTATCCACGATTACAATAAGTGAAATCCACAAAAGGAATTACAAAAATAATTACTATTGTTCTATCTCCTATGTTTTACTATTCTTGTTTCAAATACTGTATCATTGCTTTCTCTGTTCAAAGAAGAATGTGTAGATATTACAGTTACAATCTAAGAAGAAGAGACGCAGACAAGAAGATTTAAATTACGACTAGCACAAGTTCTTGTCATCAAATTGGGTATTTTGATTGGTCTGTAAGTTTCCTAATATTTCTTATAATACTCGTGTCTGACTTCGTCTGTCATCTAGTAACGACGTGAAAATAACAATTAATTTAGACGTGACTCTAGTTAAATATATAATTTTCTCGAACTGACACAAATTCCGGTGATTATATTGACCCT